TGATACTAGCAGTGTAGGCATCCTACATCAGATACAAAATCAATTTTCACACTGGTTTAACAGCAGATATAATAATCAGAAAAAGAACTGCACCACTTTAAGTAAATATCGCCTTAAATAGTAACGCCCTGAAGTGAATGGCTAAATCACCATTAAAACAGGATAGAAATGGATTTACTACAAATATCTGAGAGACTGGGATCCCATTCTTCTGGTTTGGCAAGTGATGTTATTATGCAACAAGATGGCTGCCATCAGCAGGAGGCCCATTTGTATTCCTAATATTTAATTTCACATTACATTTAGATATCTAAAGACCTTCACTCCCCTCCCTGAAACCTAAGCTGAACAAAATGAGTGCTGCTTTCATTTGCCACTGCAGAACTATTGCCCACCTATTACTCAAGAGAAAAGCTTTCCCCGGCCTCAGAAAAGCATCCTTCAGGTATGAAGAGCCTAGAGGAAGTGGGTTAAATGAAGAAGTCATCAAAAAGATCATAGGTCCTAAAGCCACACTTCATAGGCTAATAGAATTCTCTACCAATGGTTATATGAATCCAGGCGACTAACTAATCTAACTTCAAGATAAGGGGAAGATCATATAGGAGTTGATTTTTAGGGAACTAGTATTGTTTGAAATGTATTGACTAAATTGTATTGGGAACAGAACTGCAATACAGTATGTTTAATAATACATGGATTTGTCATATCACTTCTGCCAGAGCTTCCATAAATGAAGCCATTAGTTTAGGACCTCCTACATTTTAGGCTCATCACTTCAGGAGAAAACAACTGTATTATAGATACATTCATGGCTCTACTATTTGAATCACTTATGGAGTTTGATTGCAAACATCACAATGTAAATGTCATGCCTGTCTAAATTTTGGTGAGCTAATTAGAAGCCTCACAGCTAAGCAGCTCTTCGCACATCACTGGGTGTCACTGCAAGTATTCTTATTCTGTGGCTTTCAGAAATCACTTGCAAGTTCAACAGATATATGATCAGTCAAGTAAAAGAAAATTATGTTGTAGAAGCCACTTTGTAAAAAGAATGGCATACAATATATGCAAGGAAGTGCCATTTAACAGAATGGTCACTCAGTAAACACCAAAACCTGCTACTCCATGGCACTCGTGGGGCTCTGACTCAACAGAACTGGTGCAGTTCCTCTGCGGGGGAGGGGGAGAAGGGGGTAGAATTTGGGGACCCCACACTGAGGCTCCATACCCCATGGAGCATGGGCATTCTCTGTACTAAAATGCACAGGGAATTTTGGGGATGAGCCTAGGAATCCAAAATTACACTGATCCAACAGCCATTTTCTCCTGTGTATCTCCAGCATTGCTGAGCAGTCTTGGAGGTGGAGAATTCCTTCTCCACACTGCCCCCACAGAGATCCCCAGCCCATAACCCAACCACTTAGGCTGCAGGCTAGTTTCAGCATTTGGCTGTGTGGATTTTAATCAGCACACACAACCTCAAACATACACGTAAGAATGAGTGCCCTGTGTCATCTTGTGCTCCCCCCCCATGCAAATGCAGGCACCTTTCAACATTCAGATGCAGCTATATTTGGGGGATAATCAAAGAATCATAAAAGATTAGGGTTGGAAGAGGCCTCAGGAGGTCAAAGCAGGACCAACCCCAACTAAATCACCCCAGCCAGGGCTTTGTCAAGCTGGGCCTTAAAAACCTCTAAGGATGAACCTCCCTAAGTAACCCATTCCAGTGCTTCACCACCCTCCAGTGAAATAGTTTTTCCTAATATCCAACCTAAACCTCCCCCACTGCAACTTGAGACCATTGCTTCTTGTTTGGTCATCTGCCACCACTGAGATCAGCCAAGCGCCATCCTCTTTGGAACCCCCCTTCAGATAGTTGAAGGCTGCTATCAAATCCCCCCTCACTCTTCTCTTCTGCAGACTAAATAAGCACAGGTTTCAGAGTAACAGCCATGTTAGTCTGTATTCGCAAAAAGAAAAGGAGTACTTGTGGCACCTTAGAGACTAACCAATTTATTTGAGCATTGAGCCCATCAGGCCAATCAGCCTATTACCAGCAGGAGAGTGAGTTTGTGGGGGGGGGGGTGAGAAAACCTGGATTTGTGCTGGAAATGGCCCAACTTGATGATCACTTTAGATAAGCTATTACCAGCAGGAGAGTGGGGTGGGAGGAGGTATTGTTTCATGGTCTCTGTGTATATAATGTCTTCTGCAGTTTCCACAGTATGCATCCGATGAAGTAAGCTGTAGCTCACGAAAGCTCATGCTCAAATAAATTGGTTAGTCTCTAAGGTGCCACAAGTACTCCTTTTCTTTTTGTAAATAAGCACAGTTCTCTCAGCCCCTCCTCGTAAGTCATGTGCCTCAGCCACCTAATCATTTTTGTTGCCCTCCACTGACCTCTCCAATTTGTCCACATCCTTTCTGTAGTGGGGGGTGGAGGAGGCAAAACTGGATACAATACTCCATATGTGGCCTCATCAGTGCTGAATAGAGGGGAATAATCACTTCCCTCAATCTCCTGGCAATGTTCCTACTAATACAGCCCAATATGCCGTTAGCTAGGCAAGAAGGGCACACTGTTGACTCATATCCAGCTTCTCATCCACTGTAATCCCCAGGTCCTTTTCTGCAAAACTGCCGCTTCGCCAGTCAGTCCCCAGCCTGTAGCAGTGCATGGGATTCTTCCATCCTAAGTGCAGGACTCTGCACTTGTCCTTGTTGAACCTCATCAGATTTCTTTTAGCCCAATCCTCCAATTTGTCTAGGTCACTCTGGACCCTATCCCTATCCTCCAGGGTATCTACCTCTCCCCCCAGTTTAGTGTCATCTGTGAACTTGCTGAGGGTGCAATTCATCCCATCATCCAGATCATTAATGAAGATGTTGAACAAAACCGGCCCCAGAACAGACCCCCTGGGGCACTCTGCTTGATATGGGCTGCCAACTAGACATGGAGCCGTTGATCACTACTCATTGAGCCCGATGATCATCATTTTAAGAGAGTCACCAATCTGCCTCAGTAAGACAGACTTAAAGGAGTCCATTGTGACACTTTTTTGATCATTTGGACCATTCTATCCTCATTTAATTTAGCTTCTGCGCTCTTACAGACGTTCAACTAAAGTATTTTAACCCTGTTATTGACACACACAAAAAGGAAAAAAAAAGATAGTTGACTCTGCATTGATGGTCAGTGCAGTGAGGCTTGCCTGGTTCTCTTTCCCTCTCTCAAGTATTCTGAAGTAGCCAAGAACTAATCACTGCAATCAGTGAAGTAATCTGTGACTAGACAGTTCCAGCATGGGAATCTGGGAGCTACCCAGAAATATGGAAAATCTGGGAATTCTCTGATTATCTGTGAGTTCTAAGAAGCCTGACTAAATACAATGATAAATCAAAATTATTTTGTACCATCTAGGGAAGATCTATAAGTTAACCTGTGATTGCTCAACTCAGCAAGGAATTCAAGCACATCTTTAGCTGGGTGTAAATACCAAGAATGCCAAGTCTTTCAGTTTTAGCCACTAACAGACCAAGGAAGCCAAGAAACACCAAAACCTCAAGAGGAGGCAGAGGGAAAATCAGTATAATATAGTACAAAATGCACTGATAAGAGCTGGGTTATGATAAACTGTATGTTTCTCCTATTTATAAATACCCCATTCCCATCTGGACTCAAACCAGCCTAGTTTTTGCCCAGATTTAGTTAGTTTCCCTTCAACTTAATGTGAAACTCTACTGCTGCTCTCTCCACTGCTTACCTGTGTACATTGTTTTGTCCAACCAAATTACTATCAATCATTATCACTGTATTTATTCATGGTATTGATTTAATGAAGTTTCTTGATCTTTAACATTAGGATAAACAAAACCTCAGCAAAATTTGCATTTATATAATTTCAATGTTCATTTTCCTAGCAGTGCACTTCTATCAAATGGTGTTTTCTTCTTCAGGATTAGTCTTGATGCAGTTTATTCCCCAACCCGCTGCCAATAAAAGAAATCATATTTTTGGATCTATGTACAAAAGCCATCATTCCTTCCACAAGGAATTAGTGAACACCAGTGCTTTCAGGGTATCTTTTGGAACATGCTAACTGTATTAATTTGTTTTATTTACTGAATATTTTACCCGTAATCATACAAGAAGCTTGTATACTACTTCATTTCTGCTGCAGCTCATCTAGATAGTCTCCTAAATACTATAAATCCCATTGAGATGGAGAAAAAAATATTTTCAGGAGTATTAAGTAAGAGTCTAAAAAACTTTAAATAAAAATATTTGGCATTTACATAACATTTTTTATCCAAGGATTTTAACTCACTTTACCAAGCTCAATTAAGCAAGCCCCACAACGAGAGTAAGCTAAACAAGTTTTGTTATACTCATTTACAAATGCATTAGCTGACGCAACGATTGTCTTTCACTAAGTATTTTGCTGAAGGTTAAACGAGGAGTAAATGGCAGAGTCAAGAATAGAACACAAGAATCTTAACTCCCTGATTGTTGCTCTAACCACTTATACTGTGCTCTATTCCCTCTTAAAATGAGGACTAGTGAGAGCACATTGATTGCTTAAGCTACTCTCACAGCTACACTGATAAAAGGCACACATTTATCAAAACCTTGGGGCTCATTGCCTTTAGGCATATATTTGAGGTTATTATTCACCAATAATGGAGCAAGACACTCCTAACCTGTAATTTCTCTGTGATGTAGTGGAGAGTTCAACCATTGTAACCCTCATTGTTCTTGAAATACTACTGAAAAAAACAACAGTATACCACAGAAGAGTTACCATTTTACATTTGTAGCAATTCATTTTTTAAACAAACAGTATTTGGGGCTACATGGTCTCAAATTACCTAATAAGATGACATTTAAAAACATTGCTACATGTCCCCAGATGTACCAAGATACAAAGGAAGAGGTTTTAAATTTTAACCGCTTCATTGAAAGTCCATTTCTGACATATGATTTATGTACATAGAATCCAAGAGCCACAGTTTGGGAGGCTGTTGATGAAAGGCTCACATCACCTGGAGCTTGGAGCTGAAAAGCAGAGACAGTGAAAATCTCCAGCAGCATGAACACAAGCAATGCAGAGAAATGAAACGTTTGGAGGCTAATAAGGTTTGCCATTGACTATTACTGAATTATTATTTATTTATAATACCCTAGAGGCCTCCACTGCGATCAATGCTGCATTGTGCTAGGCACTTGACATATGCCTAATAAGAGACAATGCCCATCCCAAAGAGTTTATAATCTCAATGCACAAGAGAGAAAGGGTGGGAGAAATGGATACAATACAGAAGCAGAACATGAGGCAGAGAGATTGGTCGGAAGCCTGGTCTACACTACAAAGTTTTGCTTCCATAGTTATGTCAGTTAGGAGTCTGGGGGGGGGGGGGGGGGGGGGATCTCACAGCCCCAGCCAGCATAGCTATGCCAGCAAAACCCCCAGTGTATATGCAACTATACCGACAGAAGAGTGCTAAAGTCAGTTGAGCTAACATCTTCCAGGGAGTTGGTGTTACCATACTGGCAGAACCCCTGTCACATAAACTGAGTCTATACTAAGGGCTCTGCCGGTGTAGCTATACTGGCTAAGGCTCTGTAGTGTAGACGTGGCCTAAGGGACTTGCCCAGGATCACTCAGGAAATCTGTGGCAGAGCTGGGAATTGAACCTAGGTCTCCTAAGTTTTAGGGCTTCTCTGCACAGGAAAATTTTACCAGTTATACCAGTATAATTATAGCTGAACAGTTAAACCACTACAGTTATACCAGTATAACTTCCAATGGGGACAAATAAGAGTGATTTTTTTTTTTGGTTTAGCTTAAACCCCTTGCAGAGCAATATAAGCAAAACTGAAAAAGGCACTCATTCAACACAATTACCCACACGGAGAGTTATCCTAGTTTAACTATAGTGGTTTAAATTCACACTTAGCTAGTACTGGAAATAATCCCTCAATGCCTTATCCCTAAGACCACCCTTTTCAGGGGAATTCCAGGAAATATGCCAAATGTTTTAAACCTGCATCTGCAGTGAAGACTCAATGAGAAGAAAGGTGTTTTCTGAGTTCTGTGCAATAGTGTGTCCTGAAAGAGGAACTCGTAGGAAAACCAGGTTCTATGACTATAAGCAAAGCAACTGCATTTTCCATTAATTTTATCTCAAGTTTAGCTTGAAGTTATAGTCGAATACTGATGATGACTGAGAATGTGGCCTCATGGCTATTACAGAAGCTTGGGAGACAGGACTCATGAGTTCATAGGCTCAGACTTGAAGACAAGAAGAGACCATCATGGTAATCTACTTTGACGTGCTGTGCATTGCAGGCCACAGAACCTCACCCATCCGCTCCTGTAAAAGGCCCATAACGTCTGGCTGAGCTACTGAAGTCCTCAACTTGTAATGAAAAGACTTCAAGTTACAGAGAATCCACCATTGACTCTATTTGAAACCAACAAATGACCCATGCCCTACACAGCAAAGGAAGGCAAAACACACTCAGGGTCTCTGCCAATCTGACATGGGGGAAATTCCTTCCCAACTGCAAAACGTGCCAATCAGTTAGACCCAGAGTACTTGGACAAGACCCACTAGCCTGGGAAATGTTTCTCTGTAATAACTTAGAGCCCTCTGTATCTAATGTCCCTTCTCCATCCATTGGAGATATGTTAACAGCAGTCACAGATGGGCCATATGCCATTTTAGGTAATATCTTCATACTGACCCCTCAGCAGCAGTTCAGATCCTAGTTCTGCTTGATCTTGGGCAAGTCACTTAACCTCTGTATGCCACAGGGAGTGCTGTACTCCTTCACCGGAAAAAGTGTTAATATTCAGGTTTAAGTCCAAAGCAACAGGTAATGTTAATTGCGGTAACTCAAGGTAATTTACTTCTGGTAATCTTGTTTTAAAAAGAATACTTTACCGACAATGATCTTGTTGAATAATATGAAAATATGGTGTATGTTTATGATCTTTTAAGATTGCAATTTGTTTTGATTACCTGAAACAGCATCTGCTCTGTTTTTTCTTTACCCAAAGCAGAACCACAAAATAGCACTGTGCATATTTTGGGATTTGCAAGTCTTTCTGCGCATTTCATTAGAGAAGAACTTTTCCAAGGCAAACTTGAAAACATAACACCATTAAGAAAAAATATATACCACATTTTGTTATGAATATTTCATATTTGCATTCTTATTACTAGAGGCATTAAGATTTGAGCAAGACCTTTCTGTCACACCTCAGATTCTGCCTCAACTGTAGTGCATTCATAATCTTATGTTTATGGCATCCATGGGTGTAGTCAGGCATATACTATGATCACCATAGTGTACAATTTTTAATTTCCTCAGGGCAACATTTTTTTTGCAACTGGCAGGTTGTTGCTGTTTGAAGTTGCTTTTTTGTTGTTCTTCGCCAAGCCATATATTAACTTACTGCTAGATATCACTCTGACTGCACATGCTGTGTTAGTGATAATGTTGTCTGTAATGGCAGGCCTACCTTGGCAGATGATGAGTATAAAGTGGGCAGGGGGCAATTGACTTGTCAGAATATTTACATATTTCAAATTGCTGGGTACATCCCTAATGACTTTTGCAATGAAAGAGATTGCAGTGTCACCATATCAGCACTGCATGACGTCAGCTAATAGGAGAAGAAGATGGGCTGAGACAAAGAAAACCCTTGTTAAAAACAAATAGCTTTGAGTGACATGAAAAACTGCAGGTGCATAGAAGATAAATGGATTATGTATTTTATTGGAGGTGTATGACTCCAAGTAGCTTTAAGCAGGTTTTAGTGCCGGGACACTCACTAATCCAAGGACCAAGTCTATTAGCCAATGTGAAAGAGAGCTGTGTTACTTCACCATGGCCATGTCCACCAAAAAGGCACACCACCTGTAATTCAAAGGACTAATACAGTTGTGTACTATATATTTTGCACTCTAATTGTACCATTGTCAACCAACTATTTTTTTAAATGACCTACTGTATCTCACTTACTGTCATTGCACTTTCCCTTCCTGGCTTCCCTTTACTTTTTCTTTACTATGACAGATAAAGTTTAATTACTGTGGAGTAACCTTCAGTATCCCCGACCTTGGTAGAAGAGAGGGAAGGAAAAGAGCAATCTGTTTTTGTCTTGCCCTATACTGTATTCTCTGTCTCCCCTTTCCTACTTTTCTCTGAAAAATTGGTCTCTCTTCTGTATCTTTATAACTTATTGCATCAGTCTCTCCCACTCCTATTCACACACACACAATCCTCCCCACACCAATTCAAACACATTATCTCACCCTCATTCAGTTACACAAGGCTTGGAAATTTTACCAGACAGCTAAAAACCAGGAGATTAAACTTACTAGCTAGGATGACCATATGTCCCATTTTGGCCGGGACAGTCCCTTTTTTAAGCCCTGTCCTTGCCGTCCTGACTTTTGCCAAAAAAGTGGGGTGCACACTTCTAGCAGGGTGCAGAGGAAGGTGTGGAGCAGGTGGGTGAATGGCAACACCAGGCCTGTGGGGGAAAACAGGGCTCCAATGAGCAGCAATGCCAGCTGCACAGGGGGACAGGCAGGGCTTGGGTGAGGAGCGATGCCAGCCCTATGCAAGGAGCAGGCTGGGCTTGCATAACAGCCCTGCATGGGGTGGGGGGAGCAGGCCTCAGGCCAGCCCCATGTGTGGAGGGAGGGCGGGCAGTGGCTCAGGTTAGCCTCATGCATTGTCCCGTTTTCCCTTTGTGAAATATAATCACCCTATTACTTGCAGGTATGTGTGGTGTGTGTGGAATAACCTTGACTATTCCATCTGGCTCCTGAAAGCGCGTGGAGTGCATGTGGAACAAAATGTCATCCTCCATGGAGCATGTCCTCAGATGTATGGCATGTGTGAGGTCACGCTGTGCGAAGGATGCTATTCTGTTGTACAAAGTGGCATCTATCATGTTCGTTCGGACGGAATCCGGAGGTCACGGCCCATGCAGGATGCCATTTTGTGGATCACCACTAAAAAAGCATGCAACTGTAGAAGGTTTTAATGGAGACTTGCCACTATATAAATAAAAAAGGGAACTTCTCCCTTCTGACAACACAGTGATTCAGTAATTAGTATTGAGACATCATGCCTTTGTATATTTCTGGCAGAGGATTAGATTAAGTGCACTACAGATGTTTAGCATAGCTCTTTGAGGTTGGCATTCTGATTCAATGTATCAACTAAAACTTCACACGTGCAGATAAAAATCAATTAAGATTACAGCTATATGAGAACACTGCTGAGTTCTTGAGATGAATTAATCCAGTGCAGTTCTGCATGGAGGATTGAAAAGGCATGCAAGTGTAGAATTGAATCAACCATGTTAGAACAGAGCTAGTGGTGTGAACTCTCTCAGAATGGAAAGTTTAGTGCAAAATGTGTTAATTCATTCAGTGCTCTAAGCCAGTGGCTTTCAAACTATGGTTCATGGACTCCTAGGGGTCCACAGATTATGTCTAAGATTTCCAAAGGGGTTTGCACCTCTATTCAAAAATGTTTAGGGGTCCACAAATTAAAAAAAGATTGAAAACCACTGCTGTAAGCGCTAGGCCACACTAGCTCCTCTTCTCAAGTGTCATACTTGCAAGACATTTTAATACTGTAAAGTTCTTTTAGGATAGGGTTTTTTTTAAATTAAATATGCAAGTTACTGCTTGAAAGAGATTGTATGGAATTCTGTAATTTCATCAGATTTTGACACTGTTCTACAAACACCAATTTTTCTAAATTATTCAAAATATTGAAAAGGTAACAGTTGGAGCATCTGGTTTATCATAAAATAGAACATATTTGCTAAAGTGAAAGGTTTAAAAATGTTTTTAAAGTTTCTATAGAAACCAGAAATTCCCAACACTCTTATGCCAGTGCTATTAACTTGGGAAGGCTGCTTAGACATTTTGCAGCATGTATGGAACAATATATTCCCAACAGAATAGCATTTGCTCATTTTTTTAAAGTGACAGTGTTGGCAAAAGGTTCCAGATTGACTGCCCTGGAAACGGAAGATCTCTGCCATCGAACAAATGGCAAAGCAAGCTTCCCAATGCTGCCCCACCCTGTTGCCAAAGAAAGCC